TTGTTATTATTTACTCAGTTATTTTTTTATTTCAAAATTTTTTTTTTTAAATCAATACATCAACATATATCATATAATAGAAAATTTCTGTATCAGTATCAGTATCAGTATTATATTTGTATATAGTTTTTCTTGCGGCATATTTTGAATGCACAATTCGCCTAGGTAAATCAACGTGCGTATACGTAATATTTAAAAATTCCAACTTTTTATGGGGTAAAAACTTTTCATACGTAAATGGTTATATTCATTAAACACATGCTTTTTTTCAAAACTTCATAATCCATAAGTTGGGTAGAGATTTGTGAAGGTAATACGTAAGCTTTTGAATATATGAAGAACTTAATATAAGTAATACCTAAAGTTTATATATGTAGTAAGAGAGGGTATGGAGACTTGGTATTACGACATGCTATTGCTCATAGTTAGCTTCAAACTTAAATTCACTTAAGTTATTTGAATATTCAAATCTGTGGAAAGAGAGAGAGAGCGAGCGAGAAAAAACAGAGAGAGAGTGTAAGAAGCTGAGGATAATCTAAATTTTTGGCACTGGGTTCCTTAAGCAGATTTGGCTCTTAATTTATATGGCTGCTGCTGCGGTAGCTTAATTACATGAAGAACGTATATACTTTCCAAAGAATTTCCACTTTTGCGGCTGCAAAAAAAATATAAACAAGCAGAAGAAGAGAAGAGAAATGAACGAAGATATATATGTCTATATATAAAGCACCGACCACAGAGCAGAAGAGCAATTGAATTGAAGTCCCTTTTAAGCCGGGCCAGCAGCAGACGGCGTTGGCAAGGTTGAGCCACATTACTGCACAATGTCTGAATCTGTCACATTCGCTGGCAAATCTTCCTGTTTCAAAATGGAAATTGCATTCTCAGCAGCACGCACAGAAAGTTGCCAAGTTTTGCCTCAAATTTAAGCACTTTCGAAAGTATTTCGTTTCGGCCCTCGCCACTCCGGCCAAAACAAAAGTTGGCCCAAGTAGCGGGTGAAAAAAATGCTAAGAGAGAGGGAGAGAGAGAGAGAGAGAGAGAGAGAGAGAGAAAAAATTAAATGCGTTAGAAATTGCATTTTAATATGCTTTCAATTTCGTTCACTGTATACCAACCTAAAAGTAACGGAAAAGCAGGCGAAGAAGAAGCAGCAGCAAAAATAACTTTGTTACATTAAGCCATAAATGGCCTATATCGAATTGAGCAGGTGGGCATTTAGACCAAACTAATTGAGTGGCCGGAATAGCAAAACTTGTTCAAGTGTTACTAAATGTGAAGCTTCACAGCAAATTTGCCATAAAAAGTTAAACTTTGAAAAAGAAAAACCGCATTTATCCACGTACACTTGCAATTTTTCAGCGATTTGACTGTGCTTTGATGATTCCAAATTTAAATAGTGTCGAAAACCGTTTGACTACAACTTGTGCTATGAATCGGTCTTCAATCAATCCATTAATCAGGGATAGTGATTACAGATTAGTCATTTATTCAGTTATTCACGCAGCTTATATTCCTATAAATATATATCAAGTTTTGTATATAACTTAAAAAACGTTTTTCAATTATATTCCATATTCTAACGGGTGAAAGTCTAGAAATATATACATGCATATACTATATGAAAATATATATACATATGCTTACATAATTAATTGATCAGTCAGTCAGTCAGCCAATCAACCAACTAATTGATTGACTTAGTGATTCGTCGGTCAATCAATCATTAAGTCAATCAATCAGTTAGTTAGTCACTCAGTAAGTCAATCATTCAGTCACTCACTAACTCAGTCTATGAGTCAGTCAGTCAATCAATTAGTAAAACACTTAGTCAGACAGTCAGTCAGTAAATCCGWCAGCCAATCATTCAATCAGTCATTCGTTCTACCAGTCAATCACATATTCAATCAGTTACTCAGTCAGTCATTGCATATCTTAGGTATATCTTAGTATATAGTATTCATAAATCATAGTCTAACTTTTACTAATTAGTTTATTTCTTGCAATTGTATAGCTATAGCTTGTAGTCTATACAAGTCTTCAACCAATCAATCAGTGAGTCCTAACGCATTTAATCCCATTGATTGATTACGTTTCAGTCTCGCATGCAAAATGCGCAGTTCAAATGCGAAGCGATAAATTGAAAGTCATTTCAATCAAGCTCATATTCTATTGCCATGGCAATAACAGATAAATGTAAACACACACCATTGTATATATATGTGTGTGTGTGTGTGTGAGTGTATTTGTGTGGCTGCACTTGATTAGCAAAATTTAGTCATGATAAATGTATCGCTACACTCGACATGGCCATTCAGTTGAAACTTTTGGGTCCATCATACGCCCAAATGCACCTACCAAAAAAAAAAAAGAGACAGCGAGAGAGAGAGAGATAGAGAGGAAGAGAGTTGGTGATTGAGCGAGATAGTGAAATAGAGAGGCTGCTGTCCGTGGTTATTTTGGTCATAAAATGAGTTTCACGTAGCTCTGGCACGTTGAAAACTTTTTAAATAAGTTCAAGTTAAAGTTCGAACGAGAGTTCAAATTCAGGCTCGTAAAGTTGCGGGCGCTGGAAAGTGTGCTGCACAAATTGTGCTTGCAATGTTGCCAATTGCTGAGCTATAAAAAGTGTGTCGCAACAACAATCAAACAAACAACAGCAACAGCGTCAGCGACAACAACTTCGTATAATGTTAAATTTGATTGCAACTATTTGAGTGCTTACAGAGGGAATAACAACAACAATAACAACTTCCAGAGCCAGTCAACGATAACGGAACGATAAACGATTAACGATCCACGCAACAGTGAGAATAATGTCGCTGCAGCCAAGCGTTCAGTCGGCCAAATGCCCAATGGATGTCGGCGCGGGACAGCAGCACAAAGAGAAGCAGCAACAGTCGCAGTCGCAGCCGCAGTCGCTGCCGCCGCAGCCGCAGTCGCCACAGCAAAAGCCAGCGCAACGACAACGTCGCTCAATGCAACTGCTGCCGGTCATGTTGATGTTGCTGCTGCTGACGCTGCTCACGCGGCCGCTGAGCGTTCACTCAAATCGTAAGTACAACAAAAGCATAGAGTTGAGGGGAGGGAGAGAGAGTGTGTGACAGCGAGGGCATGTGAAGAGAGTGCACTAGTTGATCGACTGACAGTGACATGAGTGAAACCACCAAAGTTTTCTTTGCCTGTGCAGCTGATTGTTGCGCTCTCTTTTCCGCCTTCATTAAATTAAGCCAAGCTTATTTACCTTTGCGTTCTGTTTGCTATTTGCTCTTAAATTGCAAAGGATACACAATTATGATTAAATTCTTAATTTGAATTTTGTGCATTGTCTGCACAAATTTTTGAAAGCACAATGTACACAATTTGTCTTAAATATAATGTAAATTTAAATAACGGTAACAGTGCAAATACATTGTGTGCTGTGCAGTCAACAATTCCTTTTTCAATTAGCATCTCGTAAATTTCATTAGCTTCAAACAAACTCACCATCAGCTTAGCGTCGAGAGACAAAGAGAGTGAGAGATAGAGAGACGCTAACATGCATATATACATATATACATATGCATATATACATATGTACATACATATGTACACGCATACGTGCATACGTATATGTATGTATATGTACACTCTCCTTAATTGCGAGCAGAGCTTCGCACTGTGTGACTTCGTAGTGCTGCTATTTTCAACTCAAGATTTACAGCTAGAATTAACTAACTGTTTTAATTTCGCGTGCACCATGACATAAGCAAAGCGAACGAGGGAGGGTGAGCGTGAGATTGAGTGGCAGAACTGCTAAATAAGTGAGCGCCAGACAATCTCACTAATTCACCATACGAGCGAGCTGGGATCTCATTTAGCACTTACTCAACAAATATAAATAAGAGCGCAGCTCATGTGCGGCCACAGAGCACAGCTGACAGTCCAAATTGAGAATTACCGTTACTATAAATTAGCTCTTAAATATTAACAGCATAGTGGCATATGCAAAACCAAATAATGTGTGCAAGAGCATTAAAAGGGAGGCTGACTAAGAGAGAGAGAGGGAGAGAGCGAGAGAGAGCTTAGCTGCGTAATAAGTGAGCTCTAGACAAATTCACCATTCTAAAGAGTGGGTTCGAGTGGGATCGTCTTAGCAGTCACTCAACAAACACATACATATAAGAGCGCAGCTCATGTGCACCCACAGCTTAGTTGCGAGCAGCGCCGACCCGAGTGCTGTTTGGCTTACTTTCAATTCTGTTGCGTTTCTTTAGCTTGTTGTTCCGTGTTTATGGCGGCTGCCACTTTACGATAGCTGCAAAGAAGGAAGTAACGCATACGCCGCATTCATATGCAAAAGCATGCGTTTGGCATTAAGTTATCACAGGGCAATGCCAATGCTGAAAAGGACCAGCCCGACTGCTTGTGTCTTCCGTGTGAAAGAGTGTGTGTGTGTGTGTGAGTATGTTTGTGACACGTTTGTTTGTTTGTTTGTACATTACTTTTTTACAAGCACTAAAAGATACACTCCCACACACACACACACATGCATACACCCACACACACATACGCGCGCAAGCAGTGCTACTGAAGGAGCTGCATGACAGCTTCCACAGCAGGCGAAGTTCAAAGTAGTTGGCTCCGGTTTGCCCAACGGCCCAATGTCGACGCGATGGCTTGCTTGCCAGCAAGACGCGTATTAAAAATCAATAGAACCTACAAATGTATCCTTTCTTCGGCTGTAAAGGACAACATGACTACAACAACAACAACAACAACAACAACAGCAACAATAGACAGTTACATGGCGCCGTCTTTGGCTCGCTGCACAGCAAGCAAATGTAATGAAGCTGTGCAGGTGCGGCTGTATACATATACACATGTATTTCCATATACGTGTGTGTGTGCCCTTTGACATTGATCGATAACGATTATAGGGCGATGCAGTTGCATTGCTGCCGGTAAAGTCCTCTTCAAGTGTTGTGTAATGGAAATTGCATTCGGTAAGGTTTGTAGAGCTGTAAATACTGGTAGACCTTTAGCAAACACCTGCGCTATCGATAACGGTACTGATACTGTTATTATGAATTATTGATAAACACATTCTGACGTAGATTAATAGCTGTTATCTATAGATGCTAAGCTATATAATCATATTTGTCTAGTTGATTGCAGCAATTACTTAATGAGTAGGAGGATATAAGTGTTATGTAAGGAATGTATGTTATCGATAACTTAAGGCTGCATACGATTAACAGGAAGAGAGATCTAATTTCGATATTAAGATGTGTTAGATAACACACATTTGATGTTGACTGTCATAACAAATACTTAACTGTATAAAATATATACCTAAAATATATGTTTTATCGATAACTTAAGACTGCATAGGATTAGGATTAGTATATTGTATTAAGAGAGTTGAACTAAAGTGATTTATTAGCGATAAACATGCACGTATTTGAGGCAATTACTTTTAGGGTCGCTTACCTTTGAGATAAATTTATTGAAAACTATTCAGCATTTTTATTTTATTTTTTATAATCCTTTGAAGGATTATAAATGCAACAAGTTTTTATTTGCGCTCTCAATAAGCCATTAATCTAAAATGCTGAGCATATGTGTGATTGGCTGATTGACATATTGAAATAGAGCCATCTCTATATAATAATATATGTATATTTTTATATACATATACCACATATGCTTCGCAGCTTTATGCATCGATTTATGAGCACATCAATTTAATGTTTAAATGTAAATCGAATGGATGTGTATGGATATATATTTATATATATATACATGCTCAATATCGTTCTCTATCTCTGCCTGTCTCTGGCCCAGTGTGTGTGGTTGGCCTCATAACAAACATTTTTATAGGTTCGCAAGCTGAATGGGACATCACTAATGCCCACTAGTTGAGAGCGAGGGACTGATTAGTGTCGAGCAACGGTCGTGCGGAGTGTTTGTCAAGCCAGCAAAGTGCTTCATAAACACAATAACATGGTCCTTCAGCTAAAACAAAATCACAGACTCTTCGTCATGTGGCTTTGGCTTTGGCTTTGGCTTGCTGTCCCGCTGTCCTGCTGCCTTCTCGTCCTTCGCCAGTTGTCCTTCCCGCTCCATTCTCCTTTGCCATTTTATTTGCCTGTTTTCGTTACGTTTCGTTCTTTTTTCTTTCGGTTTTATATACCCTATAAATACGCATACATCAAATGGGCGGTGTGGGTATCATAAAGATTCGCTAATGTCTTAGCATTCCAGTCTATAAACTACAAGGACTTTAGTTCTTGGCTAGCATTATCAAACGACTCTGCGTAGCCAAAAAATATAGGAATCTATTTTAAAATTGAAATGAAATTGATTTCAGAACGCCTTTATGGGTATTACTCGTAGCTTTTTGTAGTTTCATCAACTTGATTTCTTAAAGATCTCACCTTATCTATAAGACCAAATATGTTTAAGTGTCATCACAAATACTGAGAGCAATCCATATTGTATGGAATGTTTGGAATGTAATAGGAAATGGCTTGCTTCAATTGTTTAATTAAGATCTATAAATTTTCGATTGGGTTTTAATGTATTTCGATTCAAATATTTCGATATATACAAATGTAATCGATATATATACATATATTAATCGATAACACTTTACTAAAATCGTGAAACAATTATAA